CTCTCTCACTCTCACTCTCACTCACTCACTCACTCACTCACTCACTCACTCACTCACTCACTCACTCACAGTGCTGATAGATGAACCGAACATTCACGGCAGAGACAGACACCCACATTTAACATCGGCTGTAGAAGCAGAGCTATGGAAGGGGAAAAAAGGAGAAAAATACTAAAATGTGCACCTCAGTCAGCTGCACTCAGCTCCAGTACAGATACCCCCTCCCTCTCCCCCGCGTAACACAGGGAAAACCCCAGATGTCCAAAATAGTTGACAACAGATCCTGGGTCAGTCAGGAGCAATACAAAAACTGCAGCTTTGACGATCACATGATCACGTTGTTTGAAATTGCAATTTTGGTCCAAAAACTATAGATTGTTGAGCCCCACTGCACACTGCTGTCAACACTTAACCCTCCCACTGTCCTAATGGGTGTGACCCCGCGAAGAAAGTTGACCATTGAGCAGGGTTGATGGTTTATCCCTTGAGGTTCACGTGGCAGGGGTGAGGAGTGAACCGATACAGATAATGATCCTGTTTTTAAGCTCTGAAGCTGGATGAGCTGATGGCCGCTCTGAAGAAGAAGGATGATGACATGAAAGCCATGGAAGAGAGATACAAGATGTACCTGGAGAAAGCACGCAATGTGAGTCAGATTCTTTCAAGTTGACTTGATTCTTATAATCTAAGGTCAGACACAGTGAACTATTATTTTATTTTCATGCTTTTCTTGAAGGTTATACGAGCGCTGGACCCAAAGCTGAATCCTGCTACTGCTGAGATTCAAGCTCTGAGGAATCAGTTAGCAGACCGGGACAAAGAGATTCTCAGCCTTGAAGTAAATCCACATTTCCTCAATTACAAACACACAAAACCTTTTGGGGAAACCGTCTTTTTAAGCTTGTGTTTGGCTGATTTCTCCACCAGCGTCAGTGTGAGCAGGCCCGACTGAGGGAGTACGAGGAGAAGCTGATAGTCACAGCCTGGTATAACAAGGTAATGTCTGTTAAGGAGTTTCTTTTAGAGACTTAATAAAGCAACGAGAAAGCAGTCCATGATTCAATCAAAATGTTTAATTTCAATATTACAATATCAAAAATGAGGAGACAGTCACAAAGGCTCTTACCAAAGCAGCCAGCCTCAGGAGTGTCCTGAAAAACAGGGAGTTCACACTCTCCTTACACTGAAAAACAGATTTAGTTTTTGGAGTATCACTCATAGTTAATCTAAAATGTGACTAAACATATTAGTTAAAGACTGAAATAAAGAAAAATTGGTCAATTCTACCTATTTTATTTAATTAAACAGTAAGGACTAGAATTTACCCAAAAATTTTAGTTCAGCACTGCTGTATTATCTATTTATTAAATTAACAAATAGAACAATTGCACATGTTGGCCACCAGATCCGTTTACAGTTCTGTGCTTTATTAGCTTTCCACTTCAAGTATTCATGCGAGCATGTTGAGGGAAATATTTCAGCATGTGTAAAAATCATCCTCAGCAACAGTGAATGCAAGTTCAGCTCAGCTGTTGTAAAACAGAAAAATGCTTTTTTTTGCATTGCTTTTGGTTGAATACATTCTTATTTATAGTATTGTATCAGTATAGCTCAGGATTGGTCCCAGCTTTGACGTGTGTGTCTATATTATTATTTTCTAGCTTAGAAAATTGGGTAATATTTACTCAGTCAGATTTTTACCCAGTTTCTTTAGACATTTCCTAACTCTGAATATACTATTTACAAACATGTATGGGTATAAATTAACTAAGCAAACTCTGTTATCTCAATTTTATTGGGTAGTTTCCGTGGGTAGCATAGTGTACCATTGCTGTCACCCCCCTTAACCCCCTCCGAGGGAGAAAACAAAGATGGGCCACTGTGGTGTTATCTAGACTGTTGTTGAGGAAGGTGGGGTAAAGATCTGGACCCATATGTTGGAGACTGTGCTTCAAAGGGACAGGGGTGTAAATGAAGATGCTTCTCTTGCCCTTTGAAGCATAAATCTCAGGAATCTAGCTAAACAGAACAAGATTTATGGCTGTCATAAAACCTAACTTCTTAGTAGGATTGATTGTATTGAACACTAGAATATAATAATTAAATGTGTCCATTACAAGAGCTAAATGCTGCTGCTGCATTTAACAATGCTCTGCTCGCTCTGAAAATACCCTTTCTCTGTCCTCAGAGTCTAAACTTCCAGAAGTTGGCAATTGAATCCCGTCTCGCCGGCCGCACCCCTTCTGCACTGTCCCCCACCCAGTCCTTCCTGTCTCATCAGCGCCAAGTCTCAAACGCCCCTCGCAGGGCTGCTTCCATCAGCGTGCCCACCGCTACCGCCAAGTAGGACGCACCAGCGCCGTGCATCTCACATTCCTCAAACAAGACGAAAATACACAATCCTTCAACAAGTGACCTTAAACACCTCTACGCTCAGCCTTGGAGGAGGGTTCAAGGGTCAGCTGGCTGGGTTAAATGGCTACCTATCTGAGGTTATGGTAGAGTAGCTAGTGACTGAACTTTACTGAAGAACATAACCCCGAGTTCACCTCCTGAGCCACAGCAACACATCGTCCCGGGTGTAGATTAGCAGTGAACGTCCTCCCTGATCTATTTATAGCTTTTCCACCAGCCTATAGAGCAGAATCATCCGTTTGTGGGCTTTCGTTTCTCTATATGTAGATGATGAATGTGGGCCTGTTATTATAATGAAGTTCAGTTCAACCTAATACAAAGACAGTAGATGTGTGCATGACATGTATCTTCATGCAGTCGTCCTGCAGACTGAATGAACTTCAGTAGAACATAGTTTACTTTAAGACAACATCTGTTGCAGGACACCAACTATTTAATCAGGCACCAAACATTTTCTACTAAAATGCAATAAGGCCATTACTTCACATGCAGTGAAATCAATTAAAATCAACATCTGAGGTGCTGCAGCAGCAAACCTTAGGACCTAAGGCCTGTAGTGTTTTATTGGTGCTTCTGTAAATATCAGGATCTTTTTATTCACTACAGCCCAGATTCTTATTTAGTAACCAAAGCTGTGATTCAGAGATATGTATGATTCAGCACCAGCTTTTGATCGGAGTTTAAACCAGGTAAAGCACTCGCACAACAACGATTATGTGTGACGTGAGAGTTTTTGATGTTTTCAGGTAATTGCTTTTATTTGTAGGCTGTTAAATAAGCAGTTTGTGTAAACGATGCTGCAAAGGCAGGAATACTGCAGGTGTCTAGTTTTTTCACTTGTATGTTTGCAGTAACACTTAAGTATTTAGTTCTGATTCTGCCACATAGTTACTATAAATCTATGTATATTTTTTGTTTTCTCTGCAGCTAGTGATTGTTATAGCACTAATAGGAAAGCAAAGTCACTCATAATAAAGTACAATCAAATGTAGAACAGGAGCCACATGGATATGTGTGTGTACGTTATGAAAGAAAGTTGCTGGAAGTCAGAAATTTGGGACTTTTCTGTTAATAAATTCTTTTTTTAAATGATTCAGTTTTGCTTGTCTTGTTTCAGAGCCATTACAGCGATTACATCACCATCAGCATCAGAGCGAAAGACTGTCTAATCTTTACAGGATTTTGAAAAGTAGCCGTTTACGAACCACTAACATCAGAAGACAACCCACCAGGCCTTCCTATAAATGACATGTTTAGAGTGTGAGGAGCAGAGAAAATTACAACGGTCACTTTATAGTGACTTATACAAATTGCTACCACTTGTTGGGAAACAACTCATCTATTGTTGAGCTTTTCTGCAGCATCTACTTTGCTGTCGCCGCTTCTAAACGGGACTTGGCAAAGATCTGAAATGGGTGTGGCGAGCGCGTGGCTCCAGTTATTCCTTCTGTACTCAGCTCGGCTCCGTCCAGAGTGGAAAAGTGAAACCTCTGACACAAACCGATAAAAAACAAGAACAGTTCCATCTTTGCCAGGCCCTCACCGAGACACGCACGCTTTCCTAGGAGAGGAAAAAAGGAAAGGACATCCTGAAAGGCTCAATGTTTCAGTTTGCAAATCGTTTCTGAACCGAGTTTTTTTAGAGGTAAAGAGCATAACTAGTGTTACCTGCAGAGAAAGGTAAAAAAGCTTCCCTCCTTCTGAAGTTCCTCTCATCATCCAGGAAGTGTTCAGGGTTAAAAGTGTCTGGAGTTTCCCATTCATGTTTATCAAACAGCACAGAGGTCAGGTTAGGCATCACTGTGGTTCCCTACACACACACACACACACACACACACACACACACACACACACACACACACACACACACACACACACACACACACACACACACACACACACACACACACACACACACACGCACACACACACACTATAATTCAGGCTGGAGTTTGCATTTCAAATAGATGACATACGGATAAAAGTGAAAATATCAATGCTTTTAGAAAAGTGCTGCCTGGTCCTATGAACTGACTATTTCTACCTACATACGTGCATTTTTTATCACAGTGTAACAAGTCAACTGTTTTTTTCATCCATTTGAGAGGATATACAGGGTATCCGTGGGTCCTCAACAAGTCTTAAATTAGCTTTTCCAAATTTAAGGCCTTAAAAATCCTTAAAAATGACAAATAATCCTTAAATACAGTTTCCAAAGGGCTTACATTTTCAAAGACCCAATAAACAAGATTCTTTTATTTCTATAAATGTTTTGTGAAATTCTAGTTAGTGTTCAGCATTTTTTGTGTACATTGTTGGCGTAAGCGGAACCGCACACATTCAGTTGGTTGTGAAAGGGGGCTATTTTTAGATGAGCACATTAGCTGGTTAAGCTAGTGGGAGCTCGCGCCATGGGGAAGTGCAAGTTTAATGGTAACTGGATGGTTAATCCCACGTTTGCGGCGTGGCTAGCACTGGTTCCAGGCAATAGCTGTAAATTATAGCTTAAATTTGGTCTAAGTGGCCTTAAAAAAGGTCTTAAAAGTCTTAAATTTGGCTCCCTTAAACCTGCAGATACCCTGAAAAATCTTTACAGGTTTGCAGATTTTTAAGGCAAAACAAAATTCATTTTAACTCCTTGCCCCTTCCTAATGCCATTCTTTCCTTTATCCCATAGAGGGGGCTGTTCAAATAAAGTCTACTTGATCATCCCTTTAAAAATAGAAGAAAAATAATCCGAGCAAAAGAAATCCTCTAATTTATCTAATCTAAGTGATGCTGCATGTTGGAACTCGGATACCAGAGTACAACCAAAGCGTCTGCCCTCTAGCATTACAGATAGCCATTTAAGATGTCTTCTAATAAACATTAAAAGGACGAGACAGGTGCAGCTGTGAAATAACGTACAGAAACACATTTTGAAGTGAGAAGATGAGCTAAAAACAAACTTTATGAGTTAGCAGACTGGCTGTAACCTTTGGTATGAAGTAACCTCCCAGCATTAAGCCTCTGGCAGCCGTCCTTAGTCCATTGAGAGGAACAATGTTTCCCATCCTCTGGATCTCGTGGATGACGGCATTAGTGAAGGGCATGCTGGGTTTGTCTGCCATGGTGGGCCGGCGGCTCGGTCCGATCACTCTGTCGATCTCCGCCTTAACTTTCTCTACAAGACAAATGTGTAGTTAGTGACCCCTGATACCTCTCTTTGTTAAAACAGGTCCAGTCTGTGCTTGCCTTGGATGTGAGGGTTTCTGATGAGGAAAATTAGTCCCCACTGCAGAGTCTTTGCTGTGGTCTCGCTGCCAGCCAGGAACAGGTCCAAGCAGCACAGAACCAGGTTCTCCTCACTGAAGCCTGTGTCGGTCTTCCTGTTGTGCTGCTGAGCAAAAGTAGATCAAACTCCTAAATCTAGTCATTTTAAAAGTTCTGTTGAATCGTACCCTTTCCTCGATGAGGAACTTGTCGATGTAATCACGAGGGTTGCTGGGATCCAGATCCAACTTGTGCCTCTGAATCTCTTTTCTGATAGATGCCGTTAGAGACCTGGCGCTGCTGAAGATGCCATTGTGAGGCCCGGGCAGGTGTTTCATCAGTGCTGGGAATGCATCATAAAGCTGTTAGGGGAGGGAAGACAGACTGTGAAGGGCTGAAGGATTTTAATGTTCCTGAGTTTATTTTTGCATCTCACCAGAGCCCAGATGGATCCTTCCAGGTAGGCCATGTCTGTCAGATCCTTCAGCATGCTCTGGAAGTCGGGGTCGCTGTAGTCAAAGCGTTTCCCAAACACAGTCTGACAGATGATGTTGGACACAGCCTTGTTCAAGAGTGGCACAGCGTCAAAGGCCTCACCTGAACACAGAACAGGTCTAAGTCACCAAGCATTAGTGGAGGGTTCTCGGTTTGGTTCTACATTTTATTTGTTCTGTCAACCTTCTTTCTTCTCCATTTCCTCCAGTAAATATTGACTCTCCTCCCAGATGTTCTCCTCCATGGAGCCCTTGGCCATGCCAAAGCAGCGTAACGTGGCCATGGCGAAGCGTCGCTGCCTCCTCCACACCTTCCCATTACTGAAAAATAGACCCGCTGACAAAGATAGAAATAGATTACTTGGGTTCTGGTGGCAGGTTGGCTGCTTGACGCTAATTCTGAAGGATTCACCTGAGTTCCCAGAATAAATCCTGGTCACCATTGGGCTGTAAGGCCGATCCACGAAGTTTTCAGCCTGTGTCACTAAAGCCTCCTTCACCATCTTCCACCCAGACACAAACACGGTTTTGTGTCTTCCCAGACGGATGCAGAATACATTCCCATAAACATCAGCAAGCTGTGGATGCAGAAGCAGAGAACAAACATCCTATTGTTCAGCTTGTGACCTCGCACTGATGCACATTCAGCACATGGCGGAGCGCTCAAGTTTTTAGCATTTTTGCACCAAAAGTGTTTAAGAAAAGTAAAAAAAAGTTGATATTTAACAGATAAACCTGTGCTAAACACGTTAAAGCTGTGATTCTGTTGTAAAGCGAATTAAATAGAACTGTGTTGGTTTTAAAAATGCTGTCTAGTTTGGCTGATCAGAATTGTGCAAATAAAAATTTTGAAATAGAACCAGCTTACCTTAGTGAGGTAAATGTGAGGATTTTTAGACTCTATGCTGAAGATGTTTCCCAAAAGAGGGAGACCTGGTGGTCCTGGAGGAAAGCGAGGTGGATCCTTTTCATTAAACAAACACACCAGGAGAAGAACGACAACTATAAAAATCAGGATTCCCCTCAGGTTAAACCACAGACTCAAGTCGAACAGCCACATTGTGACAGAGTTAGAGAGACGCATCAGGATTTCTCTCCATCTTCCTCTCCTGCTTAGAAATGAGTCTGCTGACCCACAGCCTGGATAGATAAGGAAGTGTGTGACACTGAGTCAGTTCTCAGTTAATACAACACAGACCGTGTTTTAAGACTAAATACTCATCAGTAATGAAGTAGGTGGAACGGCTGTTTTATTTTTGCTCAGAATTAACTGAAGTCTTGTTTAAAATGTCCTAATAAATTGATAAAATTACCTTTAAATGTAACAAAGATGCCAGTGAATGTTCTTGAGACACGGGCTGTTGTCGTGTTTTTTTTATTCTTCAGGATGGTCCATGGGAGGCTATAAGCTGGTTTGTCCTGCACCTGCTATAAAAGTCCCATCACAACGTTCTGCTCTCATGATGTTAAAGGTTTTCAGTTCCTGTTTTCTATTTTTGAGATGGCAGCGCATTATCAAAGTCATTTATTGATCTGACATGATAAATGACCCACCTGACCTGTCTAATGGGCCATTCCCATCTGTACCGGGTCGGCCCGGGCCGGGTAGCGTAGGTTGTTTACATATCTGGGTGGCCTGGTATTTTTCCGGGCCAACCGAGGCTCATTCTCAGCCCTCTTCTCGAGGGGGTCTGCTTCAGGCCGGCCAGGGCCAACACACCCACTGCTGACAGCAAATTCACACCTTCCATTAGAGCAAGCCTCTGATTGGTGGGTAGAATCAGCCCACATGGGCTTAAGACAAGGATGTGTGGAATCAACCGGGCCAGGCTGGGGCCGACTGGGGCTACCCGGCCCAGGCCGACCCGGTACAGATGGGAATGGCCCATTAAGCGCCTTTCAGAGTCAGAGGACTCCAAATCACTTTACACTACAGTGTATCATTCATCCGTTCACACACTGGTGGTGATGAGCTACAATGTAGCCTCAGCTGCCCTGGGGGCTCACAGACGAGTCTGCTGAGCACTGGCACCTTCAGTCCCTTAGACCAGCAACAGGAAAGGCGGGCTAAGTGTCTTGCCCAAGGACACAACAGCCGAATTCTCTGCCGGGAGCCGAGATCAATCCTACAACCTTTCGATTACTGGACAACCCGCTCTACCTCCTGAGCTACTGCTGCCTCTACATAGCACTCTGACAGCTTGATCCCACCAAGGCAGGCTTTGGACAAGCAGAGACCTTTCTTTGAGACAGAATGATTCCCAGTCTCCCACTTAAAATGGGTCAGTCATTCTCTCATAGCTGACCTTGTTTCAGGCATTGAATCCGGGGGGAGTGTTGGCCTTGGAAGATCTTCCCACACTGCTCTTTGGTATTCGGACACTACAGGTAGCTGTTCTGATCTACTCCTGTGATCCTGGAGGTATTGGAGATCCTGACAACAGAACAATCCCTGTAAACAAGGCTGTGTCACATCCACAGATATGCTTCCTAGGCTCTGGTACAGCTGGGGCCCATGGGCTCCTAGAAATGAAAGCATGTAGTTATCCTAAACTGAAGCCCCCTTATGAGAAAGGGGCTTGGTTGCTTTAACTCCCTAAGAAATCCAAAATTTGCTTAAAAATTTCTCAGGAGATGACGTTCCTTTATGTGAAGCCTTTAGGGCAACACTTTATTTACCACACAAATATATTAAAGCTGTAATATATAGAAATATCCATTTTATTTATTTATTTATTTAGTTTTTTAAATAGTTTCAAACAATAAAATAGAGCATTAAAAGAATCACAAGATAAAGCAGTTTGAGTATAATTCTGATTTAGAGCAGTCCTCCAAGCAGTTTTTCCTATTCTGTGAGAATGGTTTGACAAATGACAAGCTCCTTCCAGACAGCTGTTTGCACACCCAACTTACATTTCTTTGGTTCTGTTCCTCAGAGGACAGCTAAGCTTTTACCTCTCGTTAAGACCTCTTGATCAACGCCCTCCTAATTTTGAGGCATATCTGTAAATATGAGAAAAATTACTATTTTTTTGTCTGCAAAGAGCCATACATGGTGAGATCTCTCACCATTATCTTTTACTCTCCATCACTAGGCAGCAGCATGAACGCTGTCTGTTTGGCTCTCTTGGTGCTGGTTCTCAACAGCAGCCCTACCTTATACGAGGCCCTGAGTGAAGATTCTCTGGTCTTTTTGTATACTATTCCAGACAGAACCTCAAGCAGCTGTATCGATGTTTAGGTACAGCTGCTAAACCACAACGCCAGTTCCTGCATCACAGAAGTAGGAAACATGTGTAATGACTTGTGACCAAAGCAATGATACTCTATATAAATATAGACATCACCTTGCTTGGTCTTAGTACAATTAGAAGATTCTAGGTTTCTTTTAATTATTAAGCGATTGTACACACTTCGTTTGGTTCAAGAAACAGTCAGGTTTATAAACAAAATAAGAATTTATTTTACAAACAAGACTTGACAAATTGTTTAAACTATTATTTACTGTGAGTGGATGCGAACTAAAGATGGTGTCTGGAACCTACAGTGGTGTGAAAAACTATTTGCTCCCTTCCTGATTTCTTATTCTTTTGCATGTTTGTCACACAAAATGTTTCTGATCATCAAACACCTTTAACCATTAGTCAAAGATAACACAAGTAAACACAAAATGCAGTTTTGAAATTATGGTTTTTATTATTTCGGGAGAGAACAAAATCCAAACCTACCTGGTCCTGTGTGAAAAAGTAATTGCCCCCTGAACCTAATAACTGGTTGGGCCTCCCTTAGCAGCAATAACTGCAATCAAGCGTTTGCGATAACTTGCTCAGAGTCTTTTACAGCGCTCTGGAGGAATTTTGTCCCACTCATCTTTGCAGAATTGTTGTAATTCAGCTTTATTTGAGGGTTTTCTAGCATGAACCACCTTATTAAGGTTATGCCATAGCATCTCAATAGGATTCAGGTCAGGACTTTGACTAGGCCACTCCAAAGTCTTCATTTTGTTGTTCTTCAGCCATTCAGAGGTGGATTAGCTGGTGTGTTTTGGGTCATTGTCCTGCTGCAGCACCCAAGATGGCTTCAGCTTTAGTTGACGAACAGATGGCCGGACATTCTCCTTCAGGATGTTTTGGTAGACAGTAGAATTCATGGTTCCATTCATCACAGCAAGCCTTCCAGTTCCTGAAGCAGCAAAACAACCCCAGACCATCACACTACCACCACCATATTTTACTGTTGGTATGATGTTCTTTGTCTAAAATGCTGTGTTACTTCTACGCCAGATGTAACGGGACATTTGCCTTCCAAAAAGTTCAACTTTTGTCTCATCAGTCCACGAGGTATTTTCCCAAAAGTCTTGGCAATCATTTAGATGTTTCTCAGCAAAATTGAGACGAGCCCTAATGTTCTTTTTGCTTAACAGTGGTTTGCGTCTTGGAAATCTGCCATGCAGGCCATTTTTGCCCAGTCTCTTTCTTATGGTGGAGTCGTGAACACTGACCTTAATTGAGGCAAGTGAGGCCTGCAGTTCTTTAGAAGTTGTCCTGGGGTCTTTTGTGACCTCTCGCATGAGTGGTCTCTGCGCTCTTGGGGTAATTTTGGTCGGCCACCCACTCCTGGGAAGGTTCACCACTGTTCCATGTTGTTGCCATTTGTGGATAATGGCTCTCACTGTGGTTCGCTGGAGTCCCAAAGCTTTAGAAATGGCTTTATAACCTTTACCAGACTGATAGATCTCACTTACTTTTGTTCTCATTTGTTCTTGAATTTCTTTGGATCTTGGCATGATGTCTAGCTTTTGAGGTGCTTTTGGTCTACTTCTCTGTGTCAGGCAGCTCATATTTAAGTGATTTCTTGACTGAAACAGGTGTGGCAGTAATCAGGCTTGGGGGTGGCTACAGAAATTGAACTCAGGTGTGAAACACGACAGTTGGGTTATTTTTTAACAAGGGAGGCAATAACTTTTTCACACAGGGCAATGTAGGTTTGGATTTTGTTCTGTCCCTAAATAATAAAAACCATCATTTCAACGCTGCATTTTGTGTTTACTTGTGTTATCTTTGACTAATGGTTAAATGTGTTTGGTGATCAGAAACATTTTGTGAGACAAACATGCAAAAGAATAAGAAATCAGGGAGGGGGCAAATAGTTTTTCACACCACTGCATGTGTGAATATAACGTATTCAGAATCTCTGTTCTCAGAGCTGAGTTCTGGATATAAAAGAATTTGGTTTGCAGATAAGCTATAAAGCTGTTATTATCAAAACCACATGCAGACGCTATCTGTGTGTCTACTTTACCCAGATTAAGAGACCCTCTTGGTGGATCCAAAAGTGAGAGGTCGGCTGACCGCTGGCACCGGAGGGCTGTAGAGGACCGAGGTGCTGATTCTTTCAGTCCAAAGATTTCTCTCGGGTCACGACAGATGGATGAAACCGAGCATCTTAAAATAACTCTGAAGGACTTTGCGTCAGCTTTGTTCTGCAGGAGACTATCTTGTTGGTTCAGCTTCGCAGGTGCGAAAAAGGTTTAAGGTTTTGACAACGTGTCAAAATCCTTGTGGTTAGAGAGGTTATGCAAAAGATGGCCGGTCTAAAGCTTTCCCTCTAAAAACACTAACTGTTGAGCTGTTCGAACTGTTTTGTCTGAAGTTATCTTGAATAGCCAACCAAAAGTTGGCACATTTGAGGATGTTATCAAGCATCTCAGACACATCCTCTTTGATGGAGTCTCCGAATCTAGGCAAAAGCTTAACTTATGTGTCAGGCGTTAACTTACTTATGAGTGCAAATGTTATGACCTAGTCAAGTAAACATACTAAAACAATCATTGAGCACAGATTAATGAAAAATTTCATTGTTTATAATTAGAAATGGCAATATTTAATGATTATCTTTATAAAATCTTCTTTCTTCTTCTTCTTGGAATAAAGGAGTTTATTTAAAAGAGTTCCTCTGTGATGGACCTTGGAGGACAAAATGTTATTGTTTATGTTTTATTATCTCTGCAGTCCAGCTGGTGTGAGGAAGTAGGCTCTGATTAAAGGGACTACGTGCAGACTCCCAGACTCCTGTCAGGGGAAAAATATACTGTAGGATGTGTCATAGCCAGGGTAAGTTGACCTGGCTGTGCATTTGACCTGTGGGATCTAGAAATCAGGCCATTCGTGACATTACACATGAGACATGAGTGACACCGGGTGAAGGGCCAAACAAAAGGTCAGAAAAAGCAGAGGTGAACACATATCACATAGAAATATTAAACAATAATAAAACATTTGATTTATATATATATATATAGTGAAAGACATTAAAATTTTTCTTTACAGGTGGGATTAACAGAACAAAAAGATAAAATGGAAGTTGTAAAGTGATAATGTTGTCAACAAAAACATTTAGTTTATTCGTCTACTGAGTAATTGGCTCTGGTGACAGAACTCAGCGAACTTTAGCAGAAACTTTGAAGGGAGCAGGAACACGCGTAACTCCAGTTATTCCTTCTGTACTCAGCTCGACTCCTTCAGGAGCAGAGAAGGAGAACTTCTGCAGCAAGCCAACCAAAAACAGAAAGAGCTCCATCTTGGCGAGGCCTTCTCCAAGACACACACGTTTCCCTGCAGAGCACACACCCAAATGGTAAATGGTAATTGGCCTGTATTTGTATAGGGTTCTTAGGGTTCTACAACCCACCAAGGCACTCCACAACACAATCAGTCACTCACGCATTCACACGCTGATGAGTTACAATGTAGCCACAGCTGCTCTGGGGTGCACTGACAAAAGCAAGACTGCAGAGCACTGGTGCCACCAGTCTCTCCGACCACCACCAGCAGGCAAGGCGGGTTAGGTGTCCTGCTCAAGGACACAACAGCAGCATCCCCCCCCCCCCCCCCCCAAAAAAAAATACTCACACTCCTTTTAAAATCACACACTGGTTGCAAGGAAACAGATCCCAGGTGAGGATGGTTATCTTTTCAGAGACCGTCTTCCATGTAGCTCCACAACCTCTGGCCGCTTTGTTTCCTTTGAATTGCAGCTGATTAAAGTCAGGCGTAAGGACACGTTCTACAGTGCTGTGGTCTATCATCCACCTGGTCCAAACGGTTCTTTCCTTCAGGAGTTTAGTGACTTTCTATCCTCCACTGTGAAGCTGTCCAGACTGGTGATTGTTGGTGACTTTAGCATCCACGTTGATGATCCCTCTGATCACTTTGCCATGAATTTCTCCAGCCTTATGGACTCCTTCAGCTTTACCCAGCATGTTTCTGGCCCCACACACACCAGGAGGCACACTCTAGACCTTGTTTTTACCCTGAGTCTAAATACTGACAGTGTTTGTCCTGAGGACGTTTATATTTCAGATCACCATTGCATTTTCTTTAACTTGTCAGTGTCTGCGTCCCCACCTCCTGCTTGCTGTCTGGTTAATTCTCATTTCCTTAATGAGAGCACAGCTAGCAATTTTTCTGCTGCTTTTGATCCACCCTGTTCTTCTGATGATGACCCAGATTCCTTAACTTCTCAGTTTAACGAGCACTGCCTCTCCACTGTGGACAACATCTGTCCTGTCAGAACCAGATCAGTTAGTTCCTGCAGTGAACCCTACTCCCTGGTTTAATGATAGCCTTCGCAGCCTGAAGCACCAATGCAGAAAAATTGAGTGCTTGTGGAAGAAAACCCATCTCCACGTCCATCTGCTGCACCTAAAGGATCTTCTGACATCCTTTAACTCTGCTGTCAGAGACACTAGGGTTTTCTATTTTTCCAACCTGGTGTCCCAGTCTGGGACGTAATTTTGGGGGGGGACGGGTGGGACATGTCCCCCCCACTTTTTCAAAAGGCAGTTTTGGTCCCCTGCACTTTTTTCCGTCCAAAAACAATGTTACGCTCCATTAAATGGATTTGGTTGAGCACTAGGACCGAAACGGAAACCGGTTTACTATTAGACCCGCCCAAAAGCTAATCTATTGGCTCTGCTGATACTTGCTAACGTATTATTGGCTGTTGCTGCTGTCACTCAAGTTGTAAACAGTCAGAACGTGCTCACGTTGTTTTGCTAGTTTGGAGCCGCTAGGGAACACCGGTACTGAGTCACATCGTCAACTAGACGCTGTGTAATATCAGAGCTCAGCTCAGCTTCCATTACATAACATTTGAATAAGTGTTCATTTGTGAGTCTTTGGTAGTTAGGCACAGCCAGGAGGCAGCATGTCAAGAAAACGAAAAGTGGATATAAGAGACTTCTTTCAAAGTCAAAACGTAAGTTGGACATGTGACACCCCTGCATTAAGCTCAGACTCACCTCCTCCTTCACACACAAACTCAAAACTAACTTTTACAAACTCATCTCCTCCACATAACTGACTCCTCAGACACAATTTGTTCGTATTATTATAATAATTATTTTTTTATTATTACTATTATCATCATAATTATTATTACTAGTAGTAGTAGTAGTAGAAGTGTAACTTCAAAACTTTTATCATTTAACTTTATTGTAAACTTATCTATTGCAATGTATATGTTCACATTAAAAAGCTCTGAAAAATGAACAGTATCATCATCGTCAACAGATTTTTTTAAGCTTAATGTCAAAGATGTACACTTTTCATTAGATTTATCTTATTTTTTCCATTTATTTTTTGTGTGTTGAAATGCAACAACTGTTTAAACACTTTTAAGGGAAAAAACATATTTAATATGTTTTTATACACTCAAATGTTAGGGTGATGATCATGTGTAAAACATTAGTTCAGCATGTCCTCTAACACAGCAAATGAACAAACGGCCAGATCTCAGGAGGGACCGTTTATGTATAAATAATTTTTATACTTTTGACTAGGCCTGGGAAAGTAACACATTTTGCTGGACGATATTTTGTCCAACAAATTGTTGATGATAAACGATATTGTCAACATTATCTAGACCAAAATAACCACTGATATAATGTTAATATATCATAATAATGCAAGTACACCCTTTAAAATGCAACAAATAAACCTTAATTTAACATTGAAATGTCCAGAACCAGAACTTCTAAATGAATAAAAATAACAAACAAAAATTGAATAAAAAAGGAATCTCACTCCCTGTTAGAAAATGTTGCACCAAAAACAATAAAAAAGACCCAAAACAATAAATACAATGGCCTATCCATTGTCAACAGCCAAAACTGCACTTCAATAATGATAATAAATAAAAATAATAATAGAGTTGTACATTTTTTAACTTTGATATATATATATATATATATATATATATATATATAGGATGGAAAAATTATTGAGATGGGCACGTGACGTGTCAAGGGGTCTTTACATAACACCCCTCACCCCAAATCCGCACAAGCCTGCTGTGTCCCCCCCACTTCTGAAATCAAAATTTCGTCCCTGGTCCCAGTGCAAAGGGAACCCCAAGGTGCTGTTTAACACCATCAGCAGCATCATCTCTCCTGCCTCTCCTACAGCCTCCATCCACTCTGTTACAGACTGTGAGAACTTCCTGTCTTTCTTTGTGGACAAAGTCAATGAGGTTAGAACTAGCATCTCTCCTTCAGCCTTATCGCTGCCTCTCCCGACTCCAACCAGGCCCATCATCCTAGATAGCTTTGCTCCTGTTTCTTTGCCTGAGTTAACCAAACTAGTTAACTCTATGAAGACCTCTGCATGCCCCCTCCACATCTTACCCTCATCTTTGTTTAAAAGTGCTTTTCAGTCCATCGGTCTCAGCGTGCTCTCTATAATTAATGCTTCTCTGGTTTCTGGTCAGGTCCCTGCTTACTTTAAGAACGCTGTAATCCACCCACTTCTTAAAAAACCGAGTCTTGATGCCTCTCTCCATAGCAGCTTCAGACCCATCTCTAAACTTCCGTTCATCTCCAAGATCTTGGAAAAGGTTGTGGCTAAACAACTCACAGCTGCTCTTGATGAACATAACATCTATGATAGCTTCCAGTCAGGTTTTCATAGAGATCATTCTACTGAAACAGCTCTTCTTAGGGTCTCTAATGACCTTCTGACTCACAGTGATGCAGGGGACTGTTCTGTCCTGGTCCTGCTGGACATGACTGCAGCCTTTGACACTGTTGACCATCACCTGCTACTGGAGAGGCTGAGAGACTGGGTAGGCCTATCAGGATCTGCTCTGGAGTGGTTCTCCTCTTATCTCTCTGAGCGCTCCTTTTCTGTGGCCGTCTCCAAGTTTAGGTCCTCCACCATCACCCTTACCCATGGTGTCCCACAAGGTTCTGTGCTGGGGCCTCTGCTCTTCCTTCTCTATCTGCTTCCTCTTCAGCACACCCTGAGCTCCTTCAAAGGAATCGTCTACCATCTTTATGCAAATGACATCCAACTGTACATCTCCTTTAAGCCCCATGAGATGTCTAAGCTGCAGCTGTTACACACATGCTTAGACTCTATCAAAACCTGGATGGCTGGGAGCTTTCTTCAGCTGAATGAAGATAAGACTGAGATCCTCATCTGTGCCCCAGACAAGCTGGTTCCCAAAGTCAGAGATTCTCTTGGTCAGCTTGCTTCTCAACCAAAACCCTCCCTCAGGAATCTTGGTGTGACCTTTGACCCAGCTCTCACCCTGGATTCTCATGTCAGTTCTCTTGTTCGCTCTTCCTTCTTCCATCTCAGGAACATTGCTAAGCTGAGTCCCATTCTGTCCTCCTCTGAACTTGAGACAGTTCTCCACACCTTCATCTCCTCACGCTTAGACTACTGTAACTCTCTTTTCACGTGTCTGAGCAGAACCTCCCTGAACCGTCTACAGGTGGTTCAGAATGCCTGTGCTCGGCTTCTGACCAAGTCCTCCAAACACATCCACATCACCCCGCTTCTCCTCCAGCTTCACTGGCTGCCAGTCAACTTCAGGGTTCATTTCAAGATCCTAGTTCTGGTCTATAGGGCCTTACATGGACAAGCACCATCTTACATTGGTGATCTTCTTAGTCCCTACAGCCTACTGGTTGTGCAGCGCACCAGGCTAAAGACCAAAGGTGACAGATCATTTGCTGCTGTGGCCCCCAGACTCTGGAACTCTCTACCCCTGAGCCTGACATCAGTGGACTCAGTGGTCTCCTTTAAAAAGCAGCTGAAAACTCACCTGTTCAACCTGGCCTTAGTATGACCTTGTAATGATTTAAATTACATGTTATTTCATAAGCCATAAGGCGTAGGATTCCATAGTAAATATGAAATCAACCTTATGGATCTGGGAGGTTATTTTAAACCAGAAGATTGGAACTTTCATTCCTTGAAACAGTCATTTCATTCCGTTACAACCTTCTTCACCCCTCTCTCTTTATTCTGCTCTCCCCACCTATTCCACCTTCCTCAGGACCCACTGATTTCCCTCTTATCTATTCACCCTCTCTTTCTTTACATTTTTTAATCATAATTGTCTATTTTTTGCTAATTTAAAATATATTTTTAACCATTTTCTAAATTATTTTTTATATTTTTACATTTTTTGTTTTTGTGCAGCGCCTCGTGATTTTTATTTTGAGAGGCGCTATAGAGAAGATATTTTCTTCTTCTTCTTCTTCTTCTTCTTTAGCAGTCATTCAAAGTCATTTGTGTCAAGTTCTGTGCATGTTTCAGGCCAAAATCACTCAAATCATCATTTTGGGATTTTATTTTGTTATGGGGATCTGAAATGAGTTCCCATTTTTTCACATCACTGTCCTGGAGTGAAAAAAATATTCCTGAAGTATTCCTCACAGGTCCCCCCAAGGAACATGGTTGGACGCCTTCTCCAAATCCGCAAAACACATGTAGACTGGTTGGGCGAACTCCCACGCACCCTCCAGGACTCCCCTAAGGGTATAGAGCCGGTCCAGTGATCCACGGCCAGGACGAAAACCACGTTACTCCTCCTGAATCCAAGGATTGACTAACCAATGGGACCTCCTCTCCAGAACCCCTGAATAGACCTTACCAAGCACAGAAGTGTGATCCCCTCCGTAGTTGGAACACACCCTGCTGTCTTCCTTTTTAAATAGGGGGACCACCACCCCTGTCTGACAATCCAGTGGAACTGCCACCAAAGTTCACACAATATTGCAAAACCTCATCAACCAACACAGCCCTACGACATCGAACCTGGGGCCTTGCCACCGAGGAGATTTATGACCACCTCAGTGACCTCAGCTCCAGAGATTGGGGAGCCCAACCTGAAGTCCCCAAACTCCCCAAACCTTTGGGGGACTTTAACGCTCACGTGGTCAACGATAGCAACACCTGGAGAGGTGTGGTTGGGAGGAATGCCCCCCCCCCCAAGTTATTCTACACTTAAAGCCTATTAAAGCTTTGATTGTAAAAAATCCTTCTTATGACGCTGACCATTGTTGTGGTAAACTTCCTACAAGTGTTCTTTTATGTAGGAATGTGTGAACTGAGGATGCGAGGATAAACTAGGGGATTTTATGCTTAATTTAATTTTATTTGAGGGTACCCAAAGTCCCAGAAAAATCAACAATATTAAATAAGTGAGAACTGCCAGCAGAAAATAATAAAATATAAATAATCTGACATTCTGCTGATCATTTCTGATCCAAAAATAATCGGTGAGTGTAATGTACCAGCAGAAAAGGGCAAGAAGGCATCAGGCTTCACAAACTTCCCACTGGCATCCAGGAAGTGACCAGGATTGAAGGCATCTGGAGTCTCCCATTCAGATTTGTCAAACAGCACAGAGGTCAGGACGGGCAGTACAGCTGTACCCTAAAATCCAACATCCACAAGATGACATACAAAACAGTGCAGAAACATCATATAACACATCAGTAACTCTTCACTGAGTAAGTGTACCTTTGGTATGAAGTAACCTCCCAGAGTTGTGTCCATGGAGGCCGTCCTGAGTCCATTAAGAGGAACTATGTTTCCAAACCTCTGGATTTCATGGATCACAGCATCAGTGTAGGGTAAGTTTGGTCTGTCAACCATGGAAGGCAGGCGGGTGGATCCGATCACTGAGTCAACCTCTGCCTGGACTTTTTCTTTACAAAGACAACAACAACAGCAACAATATAAAGAAATTCAGCTTCTGCACAAGGAGGATTACATTTTGCCCCTGAAAGCCAAAGCTCTAGCGACAGGATCCAACAAAGTCACCCACCTTGGATCTCAGGATGTTTGATAAGGAAAACCAGCGCCCACAACAGAGTCGTGGATGTTGTTTCAGTTCCAGCCAGGAAAAGATCCAAAGAACACATCGCCAGATTGGTTTCAGTGAAGCCCAGGTCAGAGTCTTTTTGCTTCTCCAACATGAAAATGACCAATCAGTTAAATGATGAAAGCTCCACAGAGACTGATACATAATTTGAGAGTTAAACAAGCAACACACTTTTTCTATTTCAATGAGGAAAGTGTCAATGTAGTCATGAGGATTGCTGGGGTCCAGGTCCTTCTTGTGCTTCTCTATCTCCTCAGCCAGGAATTTGTGAATAACAGTGTAGTTACTGAAGATTTTGTTGTGAGGACCTGGCAGGTGGTACATCAGTTTGGGGAAGGCCTGATAAAGCTGTTCAGGATAAAAAGGAAGATTTATAAAACTTTATGTTGCTTTTTAACATGTAAAGCTTCACAGTCAATCATGGACTGGTGACAAGTTGTATATCTGTTCATGTCATCTGACTTACTTGACCCCACATGTTCCCCTCCAGCAAAATTGCCTCAGACAAATATTTCAGCATGATCTGAAAGTTGTAGTCGCTGTAATCAAATCTTTTCCCCATGACCAGCTGACAAACAATGTTGGACACAGCACTGTTGAAGAGACCTGCAGGGCTGAAAGGTTTACCTGAAGAGGAGAAGAAAACTGGTTCAAATAAAAGGATAATTACACATTATACTCAATAAGCTGTGAACCACCTTTCTCCCTCTCTATTTCCTCCTGCAGGTGTCGGATCTCCTCTCAGATACTCTGCTCCAACATGCTTTTGCCCAGGCCAAAGTTACGCAAAGTAGACAAAGCAAAGCGTCGTTGTTTCTTCCATTTGTCACCGTTGCTCATGAACAGGCCGGCTGGATATGAGCATGCAGAAATTACAATGTTAGTAAATCATCACAGACACTTTTGAGCATAATGCGGCATAAACAAAGAGATTACAGACCTCCAGGTTCAGTGTAAAACCTGTCAGCTATTGCATTGTACGGTCGATCCACAAAGTTCTCAGCTTGTGTCACGATGGCTTCCTTCACCATCTTATATCCGCTCAAAATCACGAGCGTGTCCTTGCCTAAGCGAATGGTGAAGACATTCCCATAGATCTCAGCCAACTGGGGACAATACCAGACGTAGGAAAGAGCAGTATACTGTTGAAGGTTCTATGTCTTCCAGGTCGTGGTAATCCTAGAAAGTTTGAATGAAGCCACCTGAAGTTCTTTGGTCTAAACCAAAGAAGTTCAGGTGGCTTCCTTCAAAAAGTAATTATGAACAACAACAAATCAAAATGAAAGATAGCTAGACTCCAGCAAGTCAATTTTCATACATATTTAAATGTGTTATTACGTTTTACAATTTTTAAATAGAGTTAAATATTCCACATAGCCACAAGATGTCACCAACGGCTTTACGTTCATGCACATGGTGGTAGATGGAAATCTCCATGTGGCATTATTAGTTTGAAACAACTGCCAATTTAACACAATTTAAATAGTTTGCTTTTAGGGTTAGGGCTTTTTGTGTTTTGCTTCATTTTAAAACAGAATCTACTATTTTAAAGAGATACACACTTTTACCACACACACACACACACACACACACACACACACACACACACACACACACACACACACACACACACACACACACACACAAACACACACACACACACACACACACACACACAAACACACACACACACACACACACATAGAATATCTTCTGCGCAATACTTTCTACTAACAATACTCCTTACAGACAACACGGTTTGTCTTTGATACAAATCATACCTTAGAGCAGTAATTATGTGGCTGTTTGCTGACCAAACTCAAGATGTTCCCTATGAAGGGAAGGGCCCTTGGTCCTGGAGGAAAGTTTGCTGGTTTCCTGTTCTTAAGGTAGTCTGCTAGTAGAAGGAACAAAAACATAAACAAGAAAAGTGCCCTCAGGTCAAAGCTCAGCAAAAAATGATAAAACCACATGTTTAAAACAGGCAGCAGCAGAAGAAACACTGGTGCCAGTCAGACTTGTCCTCCTAGCGATATTTTAAAGGTATTTACATTCCAATGACCTTGTTAGCCAGAGCAGGTTTCTCAGAAATACGATATGTCAGAAACTGTAAAAATGTTATGTAACATTGTGAAAACCACACCCACTTGCCTGCAGACAAGCCTATAATTAGTGGTTTACGTGATGATGACATCAGCTGTAATCTAAAACGTTAGCGATGCTAGATCAGACTAAATTAGGACAACTGACACACAGTCAGGAATCTGCCCTGGAGTTCAGCCAGTGATAAACCAGACCCTGCAGATTCAGAAACAACACTCACAATGCCCAGCTTTAGTGGCATGGGACGGCTCTTAGAATAATAAATGATCAACGCTTACCTAAACACAAAAAATAAAAATAGGAACTGTTTTAAAGTTTGTTTTATTGATAAAAATTGAGTGTTTTTATTATCTGGTACTCCAGTATCCATTATGAGTTTACATATTTTGCTTACACTATGAGGAGGAGGGGGAGGAGGAGGAGGAGGAGGAGGAGGAGGAGGAGAAGAAGAAGAAGAAGAAGAAAAAGAAGAAGAATCTTTTATAATATCCTCAAGATAAAAATCATGAGGTGCTTCACAAGAACAAAATGAAAAATAATTTAATCAATGAATAAAACCAAATATAAAAATAGATTCAAAATATCATAAAAATTAGAAAAAAATTTAAAAAATGTGATTTAAAATATGTTGCCTGATAATATAACCATAATACACAATATTCATAATGGGTAGGAGGCATGTGCTGCTGCTCATCTGGGCTATGATTATTTAGTTTGTTTTTTCTTGAATAACCAAACCTTTTTGTCCTTCATCTTCTATAGGTCAAAGGGTACAACACTCACCGGTTCCCAGAGTTCGTCCCTTTCTGCTGGGGTGATGATGAGCAGGCTCCCCCACTCAACGCCGAGCAAAGCAACCCACCACCCCACACCCCAACCAGACGGCCAGCTCCCCCTCCTAGCCTCCAGCCCCGAGAAGCCAAGCAACAACAGAGGTGTGCTAAGACCCCTAGTCTCCCCCTCGCCTGCTCCAATACAGTGTTAATGTGTGTTGATGAGGTGTATTCTGTGGCTGGGGGGAGCGGGCAGTGCAGCCTACGCCAGCTGATGCCACCACACAACCCCACTTTTCCCCACAGCCCTCTGCGTCTAAGTGCAGTTTAAAATTAGAAGTGGGCACTGCCTCTTTGGATGAGGCTGAAAGATCCCCTTGCCAAATGCCGTTGAGTGTGCTCACTCTCAAGGCCCTGTGTGTGTGTTTGCGTGGAATGTTGTTGGTGGAAGTGTTGAATGTGCAAATAAAATTGGGGGGCAGGCTGCCACAGGAATGTGGAAATGGGATCCGTACCCGAAACCCCTGACTTGCCCACCCCCCAAGGTCCTACGTGCATGTTTGTGTGATGATATGAGGGAGCAGGAGGAGAAAAATGCATGGGAATGGGGAGGAATGGCAGGTTGGCCTAAGCCCTCCAGGGAGCCAGCTCCCCCTTTGGCCCCAATAGGCACCTCTGTTCCCAAAATGCCCCCCAGGGCATGGAGACCCCAGCCCATCTCGCCAGGGCCCAAAGCAGCAACATCGCAGAGCCCCAGAGTCCGAGGGCACCAACCCATCCCCACCCCAGCAGAATATCTATGCCCATCCCTGCATTTGCAGAACTTCCAGAATTTAAAAAAAAAACATGTGACCTTTGACAGGTTTACAGTGAGGGGCTTGTAGATGCTGACCAGTCCGGGTATTTGATCACCAGATAAAAATCGAACACATGACACAAGGCTTGTTCATCTAGCAGATGTTTCCTGGTGGATCTTCTTTGGCTGAAGGGCTCAGATCAGAGATTTCCCACAAAGGTTCCAAACCTTCATATATGAACTTTCTTTGACAAATGGATGGTTTATAAAAGAGTTGTAGAGTCCCTCTTGTATTAAGAAGAAAGTAAAAAATAAATAACCTGAAAAGAGTTTATAAATGTCTGGAATTATTATTATTTTTTTTTTTTACATTTCACAACTATTTAAATGACATTTTAAAATCAAATGTGTTCATGATAATCTAGAAATGTTAAGTTAATCTGGTGCATCATTGTTATGATCTCTGGGTTTTCCCTCCAGACAGCACCATCAGGATGAGCTGTCTTCCCTCAGATCTCAGCTGCAAGTCATCTGCAATCACCCAGCTGCAGCATAAAGTCTACCCATTCAGGAGGAGAAGGAAGCAGTAAGGTGGGTGCTAATATGGGAGTTGTTATAAGACGCTTCAACATCTTGATGAAGATGCAATATGTGACATTTTAGCGCTTTTAAATTATGTCTGGGAGGAAGGAGTCTTGCCAAAATCCTGGAAGCATGCCATTGTTGTCCCTATTGTGAAGCCAGGAAAGGACCCGTCTTCTCCGTCTTCTTACAGGCCAATAGCTTTGACAGCTGTGCTGTGTAAGGTGATGGCTAGGATGGTGACTAATAGACTGGTATACTTTTTAGAAAAGAGTGGGTTTTTTGTCAATTATCAGAATGGATTTAGAGGGGGGAGAAGTAAGTTAGATTCTGTAGTAGTTTTAGACAGAGATATTAGGAGAGCTATAATAAATAGACAAGCTGTTGTTGCAGTATTTTTAGATATTGAAAAGGCTTAAGATAGTATGTGGAGAGAAGGTTTACTCAGGGCCGTTGCTAGCTATTTTGATGCCCTAAGCACAAAGTCTTCGTGGTGCCCCCCCCCCCCCCCCCCCACACACACACACACAGAAAAAACAACACAATGACTGGCATGTGACATGACTAAATTCAAAACTATTTAACCTTTATTAAGAACTAGAGAGGCACAATGTACACATTTTATACACAACTAGAAAATTCTGAATATGAAGGGAGGAGGTTAGCATAATGGACTTTTTTCTTCAAATTATACCATCATCAGCTGATGTTCCTCTTGGCCCGTAAATGTTTATGAAATATATATCAACATAGAGCAAATACCTAATTTGAAAATAGGTTTGTCAAATGTTTCATATTAAATCTCAGTTACATATCCTATAGACCACATAGGCTATTTAATAATGATATAAATCATGTCCATAGTTAACTCATGATTAATCACAAACAGCCGCTTATTTAAAATTAAAATTTCTTACTTTACCTTGACAGTGTTTTTGTCCTTCCTGTTTTTGTGATAGTTATCAAGTATTTGGGTGGACAAATATGATTCATTTGTTTATTTCTGTTTCAAAACAGCACAGATGGGCCTATCTGACCTCACAGAGGAAACTTTATTTTACTTGAGAAAGATGTTTTAAGATGAACTTATTAAAACAAAAAAATCTTCAAACTCTTAAAGGTTTATTTTTAGATGAACAACCTTTTACACTGTTCTGACTTATTTTTTGATCCAAGTCGCATGAACAGGCTGAATAAAAGGATATTTCCCTTTGTTGCATTTAACTATTTCTTCTTTAAAGAAGTGCTGATTCAGAAGAGAATAACTGTATTTAGGAAGATGATGACTTGCTACGTTTTTTTCTCCAGCAGTAAAAAAGCTTTAAAGCTTCTCTGAGTTTCTCTCCCTCTCAGCCTCTCTCACTCAGGTACTAATGAACGCCCGGTAGGCAGGGCCAGATTAACACTTTGTTGTACCCTGGGCAACAATATTCAAGGGCCCCATCATCACGACCCAAGGATCACCATAATATGGTCACATACAGAATATTTTACTGTAATATGCAGTAAATATACTCAATACTTGAATGCCTGACAACACGTAACCCGCTCAGGGTAACCTTTGACCCTCCTCGTGTGGACTGACCAATGAGGAGAGGGTCTTAACTTGAGGCCCTCTCTTCATTGGTCAGTCTGCATGAGACTGACTCTCAACTGACGTTCAGAGTCGTAGGCAGCGAAGCGTCTCTGTGCAGCGCAAAAGCCCGGGTGGACAGTTTGTTTAATATAGGGTGACCATGTTTCCATTTCCAAACAAGAGGACAGGGGATCTGTGCCTATGACGTCACACTAAGGCAACGCCACACAAACCATGTTGGGACCCATTTTTTGTGAGAAGTAAATTAATATCAGATTCTACCAATAAAAGGGCTCGAAAACAGTTCATGTGTAAATATTTTGCATATTTATTGCAAAATCGCATTTTTCTGCTTTTGTGCTGCAACAAGGTTTTATTAATAATAAATTATTATACCTTTTGTTTTACTACAGCATCGGTACGCTTCCTGTGCACAGATTATTAAGGATGCTTGTTTCAGCTGTGAGATTAGACGATAGGATCAATGAAAAAATAAGTTGTCACACACTCCATGGAAACTTTCAGAGAATCCACAAATAGTGGCTTTCAAACGATTTTGTTACTTTTAGCAAGTTTAGAAAAGCAGCAGATGAGACAACATGTGTGATAAGTTAGTCTTTCATCTGATAATATTAGAACATGTCAGCGATGTCTGAGGGGCTTTTACAAACACTGTATAACTACTGGAGAGGGTATGAATTACACAGAGGCTTCTGGGGAGCCCAGTTTTGGGGTGGTGGTGGGTGGTGTTGGTGGTGGTGTGTGTGTGTGTGTGTGTGTGTGTGTGTGGGGGGGGGGGGGGGGGTCATTTTGCCTTGGCCCCCAAAATGTCTTGAAACGGCCCTGGGTGTGTGACTGAGTTTTGAAGGTGATCTGAATTGGATCAGATGTATAAATATGACATGTGTATAACTTATTGTTTTATACAGGTAAAAGCATGTAATGGAGATAAATCTACCTACATTTTACTTTTCAACACTTTGTTTTATTTTCTTGTTTTTATTTAACTATTTTCCTGTCCTGTCTGTCTCTCATCTTCCTGCATCTCCTCTAAACTCTCCAGAAAA